ATGTACTTATGTATGTATGTATGCATGTATGTATGCATGTATGTATGTATGTATGTGTATGTATATGTATGTGTATTTGTGTATGCACGTGTATGTATGTATATGTATGTATATGTATATGTATGTGTATGTGTGTGTATGTATATGTATGTGTATGTATATGTATGTGTATGTATGTGTATGTATGTATACATGTATGTATCTACGAACACCTGTCGAAGAAATATACTGCAGTGTGATTGTTGTGTAGTAGTTCTCGTCTGGGGGGTTCTTTTCCAGTTTTCTTGGTGGAGCCTGGGAAGTTCACAGGAAGATGTCAGAGACCCTGGGAGGTCCCTACGATTGCCGTGTTTGCCTTTTTTCGCAAAGTAACAGGAGGGTGGGCCTCGCTTCCCCACTTTTAAAATTCAACCATTGGCCATTCTCTTGGAGAAGCTTATCTGCGACCACCATAGCACCTGCGATCAATTATGATGCAGTATTAAAGTGAACACGCCATTCGCGAGTGCCAAACTAGCTGCTGAGTTTTGGGTTGAACCGTGTACACACTCGACATCAGTATCGTCTATGTGCTGCCCACCCGATGTGCACCGACGAACGGCGTGAAATCGCCCAGAGGCCTAGAGGCCTAGAGCCTAAAGGCTGAGCCAAAACTGGTCACTGTGCTCTTCTACGACAGCTTCACACGCTGCTGGATTCCCTTGCAGGCCCTCATGAATGTAAGCAGGAGCACTCACTTGTCTGGCGAAGTCTATGGCTCTGCACCCCTGGCTGTTAATCTGATCGGTCCGCGCGCCCGAAGCGATCAGGACTGCTGCAGCTTCGAAGGAACAGGTGATGATGCTAAGCATCAAAGGAGTCGCCCCGTGACAGTGGTACGCATATGCGCTCAAAGTGGATGTTCTCCACATGTGCCGCATCTTGTAGTACTTCATCAGTACATCTAAGATCGTATGTTGCTTGTGCTTCTGCGAGTTTACGTCGGCGCCTGCTGCGATCAAGGTCGCCACAACCGCAGGGTCGCCACCACCGAGCAAGAAGACTGCGTTCAAGCAGTGCGCGATGTCAGGCTGAGGGGTGAACGGCAGCAACTCCTGCATGTGTACGCATCTCACGAGTTCTCACTACAGCACCGCATGCGGAGACAATCGGCTCAGATTCAGCCGCGGGAGGGGGGTAAAAGAAGAGGAGGAGAAGGGGACTGCTTCGTGAGACATGAACACTGCAATGAACCCAAAAACAATTCGCTGCCAGAACCGCCGAGGCAAACACGGAAAGACAGGCCTGGCTCCGGACTCTCATTCACCCCAAGTCCTGTCCTTGAGAACGGCCATTCCACCTGGCCCTCCATGTATCGTGAACAGAAATGGCAAATGGCCCGTCATTGCCGGCACCGTCGCACTTGCACCGTGTGCAAGCAGGAGTTGAATACCTGCACCCAGGACTGCTACAAAACCCGCATGACATGCTCAGGGAACCGTACCAATGCCAACCCGGATGCGCCTTCTTGATTGTTGCCACTCGACGCCCTGTGCATCGCGGTGCCTCCATAGCTGTCCTTTGCATGAAGCATCGCACGCAGCTGTATTTCTACTCTGGGTTGCAGACTAAAACAACCGAACTTCCCCAAACCCACCTTGACACCGACGTCGGCTCGGGCAGCAAGGAGAACCTTCATGGCCTCGTTGTGCTTCAGGAAGGCGCAGATTGACAGCACAGAGGTGTTGTGGCCCAGGTTCACCAGCTGTTCTCCCCGCAACTTGAGCTTGTCATTCACATCGGCACGTCCCTGCACAAAGCGGACGGACAAGGATTCTCGTGCTGTCGAGACGTATTTCAATTGATTTCACTCAACTAAAGGTTTGTGCTCAAGTGCAAAAAGCGGAACCTCCAGCAGAGCACAAATCAGCAGGGGACTGCCAGCTAAGGCTGCATAGCAAAGAGGAGTCCACCCAGTCGAGTCACGTGCCATACTGGTGAAGCCATTCTGATACATGAACTCTTCCCTGAAGAACACACAGGGATCCGATGAATTCGAGGAAAAGCCCGGCACTATATCCACAATTGGATCCATGTCCAAGTTTCTGAAAATCACGCTCTGCAAGTTCAGGATTGTGCGATAGTTGTGCAGCATACCAGCCGACAGGTACCCGAGCAACTTCTCCCTGACAAGGCTCTTCAGGACTTGCCGAACGTTCTGAGCATCCTCCTTGACAGTAAACAGACCTTCACCCACAGGCTTGACCACCCAGTCGTACATGGATGCCAAGATCTGCCGCTGAGCACTTTGCACTTCGATGGCGATGCTGGCTCGCTTGCTCAGGTGTCTTACCACGAGCTCCAAGCGGCACCACCCCCTCGATGACCACCTCGCATGTTGTTGTTGTTGTTGTTGCATAACACGTAGCAGAAACAGTAGTAGTAGTAGTAGTAGTAGTAGTAGCAGCAGCAGTAGTAGTAGTAGTAGTAGTAGTAGTAGTGGCAGTAGTAGTAGTAGTAGTAGTAGTAGTAGTATACGTAGTATACGTAGTACGTAGTACGTAGTACGTAGTACGTAGTACGTAGTACGTAGTACGTAGTACGTAGTACGTAGTACGTAGTACGTAGTAGGTAGTAGGTAGTAGGTAGTACGTAGTACGTAGTACGTAGTACGTAGTAAGTGGTAGTAAGTAGCCAGTAGTAAGTAGTAAGTAACAGTAAGTAACAGTAAGTAGCAAGTAGCAAGTAGCAAGTAACAGCAAGTAGCAAATAGTAAATAATAAGCAGTAAACAGTGAGTAGTAAGTGTAAGTTGCAAGTAGTAAGTAGTTAGTAGTAAGCAGTAGTGAGTAGTAAGTAGTAAGTAACAAGTAGTAAGTAGTAGGTAGTAGGTAGTAGGTAGTAGGTAGTAGGTAGTAAGTAGTAGGTAGTAGGTAGTAGGTAGTAGGTAGTAGGTAGTAGGTAGTAGGTAGTAGGTAGTAGTAAGTAGTAAGTAGTAGGTAGTAGGTAGTAGGTAGTAGGTAGTAGGTAGTAGGTAGTAGGTAGTAGGTAGTAGGTAGTACGTATCCGGTAGTAGGTCGTAGGTAGTAGTGGGTAGTGGGTAGTGGGTAGTGGGTGGTAGTAGTAGTAGTAGTAGTAGTAGTAGTAGTAGCAGCGGCAGCAGTAGTAGTAGCTGTTGTTGTTGTTGTTGTTGTAGTTGTTGTTGGCCCCACGTGCGTCTGCCGCCGCGCGGGGTG